ATATAAAAATTCTAATGAAAAAGACACAGATAAAATTATGACGTATGAAATCTGCCAGGTCATTTCACAGCTTCTTTCTCAATGCTATTTTCTGGGTTTTAGATGGAACTAGCTGTAAAGTTTACTTTGAAGGCCTTGCCTCCTTTTCTAGCAGCCAATGCCAATTCACTGAAAGTAAATGTATTGCTGTTATTTCTATATCTATATAAATGCATAGTACACTCCATTTTCTTCCAGGAAGGCAAAAAAAAAGTTTCAGTAAGGCTGAAAAGTTTTGAAAGAAGGACACTTTGGGCTTATGTTCAAAATCACCTTTTGGAAATTGATTTTGAATTAAGTGATCCTTCTCATACATTTCATTTTGGAGAGAATTTCTTTCAATTTGGGTTTTACACTGTTGAATGTGAAATAAATTTTGAGCTTACAGTATTTGCTACGGACAAAAAAAAATCTACCTCTCCCTCAGCTCTTCAGCTTAGCAGAAGAAGCTACCATATACTAAATTACTTTAAATGCGGAAGATTTGAATATGAGTTTTGAAATACAGTCTCCTGAGCATGAGTTTACCAACCCTTCCTACTTTCATATTATAGGTAACTTCTACTGATTTCTCTAGTTATCTGTTCCATGGAACCAAAATTGCAACTTGTTAGCATCCTCAAAAACATTAGAAATTTTTAAAAGTGCAAAGGCATGAGTTCTGCACAAAATTAAACTCTGCAGCAAACTAAAGTTCAAAACTATCTGTTTATAACAAACCAAACTGGTACCACATCCTGAGTTAGGCACACAGAAATACTGACTGGATTCCAAGTGCTTCCAAGCCAGCTCCATCTTTCTGGCACATCTAATTGCTGCTTCTGTCTCTGATGTTGCTGGACACACTCCCACAGTTTACAATTCTGCTCTTCTATTCTGCCTTGGAAAGCAAAGACTACTTGTCCAGCCTGAAAACATTAAAACCAGTAGCTGAGACTCTCGAGTGTCCCTCTCAGAGTTTCATCTTCACTGCAGAAGTTCCGGACTACTGATTCAGCTTCCTAAAAACAACATGAAAGGGAATAAACAAAGCCTAGCAAACCTTAAACTCAAACTTAAGAGCACAGATTTTTTAAATCAATTAAATTCCAGATACATGCTTCCCAAACTTATCTCAGTCTTTCTAAAGGCCATGCTTGCCGACTCGATGCCTTCCCCGGGCCTAATCTTTTGGGGACTCACTGCCAGCCCATTCTCTGCTGCCAAGTCAGCATATCATGTCTTGCGACTTGGATAAGCACATGGATTTTGTCTCATTAAATTACCAGATGACCACTGGAAGAACCTGGTGACAAAGGCATTTGCACCTTTAATTGTATGGCAACAACCCTTTTCTCTTACTATTAGCAGACAGGAGCTTAACCATGTACATTTAGATCTGCTGAGACTTGTTTATGTAGTCAAGTCAGGGAGGGTCTTTATTCACTCTGAGATGCTTCATCATACCTTAGCTATGTTTCTAAGATGTTACAACCCATAGTAGTCCTTCTTTCTGTCAGAATCACTATATCTAAGTAGCATTAACAGCCTCAGCCCTCTCGAGCAGAATGTGAATTATGTTAGCAGCACAGTTCTTTTCAAAGGGCTGAATCTCTGTGGATCCTTTTTGGAAATGTATTTTTCTGACTCTCTCCATTCGCTCCCACAGCAGACTAGGTAACTCCTTCAAAATCACTGTGTGATGTATAATACAAAGCCTTCTTAATAATATTTTATTGTATCATGCAGGGACCACGCAAGCTGTGTGTTAAGGAAATGAACAGTGGCATGGCAAAAAAGCAGGCCTGGCTCACAAAGAACAAAAGAAAAGCCTTTTATGCAGCAGTGGCAGCTGACAGCTTCAGAGATGGAGTCAAAAGTCTACTTCAAGTAAGCTTTTTTTTTTTTACAGAACATATAGAAGAGTGTTACATCAAAGCATCCCTTTATGTAAAGCATTACTGTTTACTTGTTAGGAATTCCTATGTATATATGGATAATGTTATAAACAGAAAGGGCATTCTGGGGGTACATGTATTTATATTACAGATTATTTCATAAAGAGATCTAGTTCTGGGCTATGAAATTATGAGACAAGACAGACTGATTCTCTCATAAATGAACAAGACACTGCTATAAAAAAGGAGAGGCATCTACAGGGCAACATTTGAATGTCCCTGCAGCCAACACTTGATATACTTCAAATCAATTCTATTGTTTGGTATTATGCAGCATATTAAATATCTGAGAATATTTTTGCATTCATTGAAAACTGAAAATGTGTAATACATTTTCTGCAAACAGAGAGAAGGTCATCTAAATAAAAGAGTCTGCAATATTTTTCTATTACTCTAAGAATACAGCAGATCATTTCCAACAGTCCATTTAAAATGGCCTTAATGAAGGCACAGAGGCATTGTTTTCCCTATTTCCCATCTCCCTCTCTCTCTTACATATACGAATATTTAAATGTACAAGTCCTGAGGCAGAATGTAGAGAAAATTCCCATCCTTTGCACAAAATACACTGCTGAAAAGACAGTGCAAACTGAGACAGTAAGGAATTTACTGAAATACTCTGGGTAACAGTCATCCACTGGTAGCCTACCAGTGCTCTTTGTACACTTGCTGAATGGACAGTACAATTGAGCAAGATGAAATATTATTAATAAAGATCCCTTTGCACTATCAAAGCCTCACAAGAACACCTCATTGTCTCGGTAGCAGATCCTTCTGATGTTTTTGAAAACTGTTACAGTCTGATGATCTCTTCCTTTCCATTACTGCTTAAACACTATTGCCAAAGTCAACTATTGGACCACAAATAATTCCCTTCCAGCAAACAGAAGGATAACCATATCATCATTACTGTAAGCTAAGGACATCTGCATTGCTTTGCCAACCAATTATTCATTTCAATGTAAATAGTGCAGATGTATCAGTGCTACTCAAAAAACCCATCAAGGTTCCAACAGTTTTTATCTATTTCCTTTTTGCTAGTAGTAAAAATTGGCAAGTATAACAGCTTAATGAGCTGGTGTATTTGTGGGTCTCCTCCTGGAGGTTCCCAGACATTGAGTATTTAGATTTCTATAAAAATTAGGTTAGCTGAATCTAGATCTGACAACCCTTACTTGTTCAGGTTTTAACATCCAGGCTCAGTTTTGCAGGCAATCTAGTATCTTGACAAACCATTTGTTCTTCCTGTCTGTAAACTGTAATTTTATCTATAAAGCATGCTCAGCTAATTTTGGATAATCTTTTGGAAAGAATACAGCAAACAGAACAGCAACAGTTTCTAAGTTCACGGCAAAAAAAAAATTCTTAAGAAGATATGCCTTCTCTGCATATCTGAGGTGTTTTAAGAGACTTCAGACCCAGTTCATCATTGAGTATTCCAAATCTGATAAAAGCTTTATGCTATTATGTTAGAATGAGCATACAAACAGTGCTTGAACTCTCTCTTGATTCCAAGTTATTGAACCATTTTAATGAGAGCTTGTCAGAAGAAATGCAAATGAATGCTAATTTAGCAAAACTACATTTCTGTAATCTAAGATCATTTATAGTTGGAATGATTTAGAGCTAATCTTTCTGCTTTCTGCATGGGTATGAGCATGAAGGACATTCACGAAATGCAATCTAGTTGTAAGTGTCTCCAGAACATTACTTCAGTTACCTTTTGCCATTACTTTTCATTTACAGTAAAAGCATATGTGGGTACCTTCTCAAGCAGTGTTTTAATATTATTAGGCCTCAGGCTTGGGTAGAATGAAACCAAATACTTTGGTGATCGGATTTAAGAAGGACTGGAGAAATGCCACCGCCACGCAAGTTGAAAACTATGTGGGCGTTATACAGTAAGTCACACTTCAGCATCTCCTTTTTTACTCCTCTTAGACTAGATTAATATAGCATTTCCATACAGAATTTGACATGTAGAAACGATGTAAGAAAACACCTACAAATCTGGGTTCACACATGCTAGCTCTGTAACAGAAGTTTCTGCCCATTAAAAAAGGCTCCTTGGCTTCACACACCTAGCAAGATCTGCTTAGCAAACATCTGGCACTGTCAGAGCTGATGTGGCTTGACAATGCTACATAAAGAAGCTGCACTGCTGTCAGCAGTGCTTTTGCAGAACTGTATTTTCCCATTTTTAGTGGGCAGGAGCTCAGAGAAAAACAACCCTAATGTACATACTCAGGGAATAAGAGAACATCATGGAATTCTTCTTTTAAGCCTAGGAGACAGAGGAAGAGCCTTGCTTCAAATCTCATGTGTGCCTAATGCTCAGCAGCTCTGTGGTTTGGGATTTAGCCAGGAAAGGGTAATTTAGAAACAGGCTTCTCAGATTCTTGCTCAAAATTCATTTGTAAAGCTGAAGCGAGTTAAAGAACAACAAAATCTACCTGAGCTTTGTTGTTTCCTCAGAGAAGGGAGAAAAAAATTACCCAATGGCAACTTAGTTCCTAAAAAGTGTTGTCAGAAAGACCCATTTCAGAAATAGCCTATCTGTCCCTTTTTCTAAATGAGGGAAGAAATTTTATAGTACTTCACTTAATCTTGAGCAATTCCTTCTGCAATTTTACCTAGAGCAGCCTAGTACATGGCAGTAACACCTCCCTGTGAGCACTAACACTTTTACTGATCTGGACAAAGTAGCTTTCCTCGTTGACATACATGATGTGAAAGGATATTTCTTCTTTTTTTCTTTCTTTTCAGTGATGCCTTTGATTTTGAGCTTGGCATGATTATCGTCAGAATTAGCCAAGGATTTGATATATCTCAGGTCCTCCAGGTTCAAGGTATGTGGTGACTCAATAGCTGAATATCTATGCTGGTTACATGCTAAGCACAAGAAGGAATCTGACCGATACTCTTAGAGTCACCTTTCTGCTTTCTAGAATAGTCAGTCTGCTTTCTAGAATAGTTCCTACACCCGTAACTTCTACAGTTCCTCCTTGCTTCTGCAGTTTCAGTCCTGCCTGAAATCCTTGCTGAAGCACTGGCAGTGACAGAAGGAGGCCAAGTCTCACACATTAAGGGGCTGTGCACATCAGAGAACTCAACTCCCAAAGCACTTCCAGCACAGGCACATACTAAAGCAGTAAAATCATGCTGTGCCACAGCAACCAGTCACTCTGCAGCATGTTTCCTTCCTGCTCTTGGCACATCTTCCTCCTTCTGCCTACCTGAGATCTCTGGGACTGGCAGGAATCGGGAAGCTGCACTTTTGCTACCACCTCTGCGGAACGCTGGGGCCCAGAAAGTTCCCACCCATGTAGAAATCTGGAACCCACAGGAAACATCAGTGCTCTTTTTCACCTTTTTGTTCATTCTTCCTTAGGTTAGTGGTGCATATCTCAAGGGGAAAGGGAAAAACTTCCACCATACCACAACTGCTCAGGGAGACATGCCATCTGGGTGGAAAAGGTAGAGGGAGTCAGAGCATGCAGGCAGCTGACCTTAAGGGCTTCCAAGAGCCACATACAGTGATGGCCTTTGTTTTTCCTTTTCATCTTTAGGACACAGAGGTCTCACTGGTTCCTCAGGTACCCTGAGGAGGGAATGACTCCATATAAAAACCCCATCAGAAAAATTCTCTAGATTTTCAGTACAATAATTTTCCCACTTCTCGTAAGTTTGTCCACTTGAGCAGACAGATACAGCCTAAACCTGGACATTACCCCTAGCGTCCCTTTCCTCCTCAACAGAGAAATCTTTTGTGTTATAAATGAATTAGATAAAAATCTATAGACAAGGAACATAGGCAGGCATAAAAAGACTGGCGACTCTTTGCTGCCGCCTGCTGTAAACCTGCTCCAGCTTCTCCCCAGCTTCCCAGAGACACAGACTGCGCTCAGGACTGGTGGGGAGAACACCCAGAAAGGACATAAGTACCTTAGCTAATTAAAACCCAAATTAACTCCCCATTAAAAAGGATGGATTTTAGGATGAGGCAACCCTCAAAAACAAATCATGTCTCAGAATTAAAAGGTGCCAGAGACTCCCTTAAGAAACAAGGGTAGATGAATATTCACCAGCAGACTCTCTGGCAGCTTGACGTGCATGGAGAGCTACAGGGCAAAACTATGGGGACTTAAGAAAAAATTCCAAACTAATCATGCTTTTTTTCTCCCCCTTATTGATACCTCAAAGAGATCTGCCTGTCTCTTTGCTTGCTGTAAGTCAGAAACTGACTGCTCAGAAGATAGAGTCATTAGACCACCAATGAAATTACAGCAGATACCGACTTTGCATTCTTACAAACTAGCAAGCGTTCTCCAAGTGTTAAGACACAAGGAATCAGGAAGAATTAGGAACACGGGGGAGGGAAAAAAAGGAAAACCCTCAAATATGCAGAAATATTCTGAAGCAGATACAAAGTCTCTGTAGTGGAGAAAAAAAAAAAGAGATCATTGTATTCTATTATCTAGCATTCCATTTAACAGAGAAACTGAAATTTTAGTTTTGAGTAACCATTGAGTCACTATCATTATGTCTAATAATCAGAAGAACATGGCTGTCATGGATTCTAAAGTAAAAGTAATTATACTCTTTTCTGTTGGCAACTGAGAGTGCCAACAGAGCTAATAATGTCTACCTAGTGAGGGTTTGAGGTTTTTTTTAAACACAATGTCTTAAATGAATTTACCTCACTCTTAGTCCATGTATTACTCAAATAGAAGCTTTCCTTATGAAAAAAAGCTTTCTACAGGCAAATGCCTGTATCATATTAATTAGTGCCTCACCATAATATATTCCACAATAACACGTGGTACCTTTTTCTCAGCAAAAGTCTAATATTGCTAAGATTAAATCGTTCTTTTATATTACTGAATTTACAGAATTGGCTACTTAAATCTTACATCTTTGCAGCAAATGCTGAAAAAATTAAAACATTAAAAATATTTCAGCATAGAAACCAATGGCATATTCAGGATCTTTACATATTTCTGAGAATCTCAAAGTCCAAAGCCATGTGACCTTGTTCTTAGAATAGGAACCCAAGGGCTAGAACTTAATACATCAGCTTTCTCACTTTAGGAAAACAGCTTTCCTAATGTGTTTTCAAATTCTTGGGGAAAGAAACCAACCAAACAAATCCACAAACACAACTCAATAAATAGTATCTCATGTAACTATAAAATACAGTAATAGTAATTTGATCTGGAAGAGGAAATCTGAGAGCAGCTGAGTAGCACTTTAGTACACACCACTGCTGTAGGTGTGGGCACCCTAAGTTAGGGCTTCCAGAGATGAATTCAGCTTCCTCCTCCCTATTGGTTTGTAAGGAAAAAGCATGTTAAGAGTTTTTCCTCCCAGCAGCTTTACATTGTGTAAAAAGTACCACAACAGAAATTACTTCACCGCCATTATTTCAGTAAGTGATTTAATTTAAAACAGAAAGTGATGTGTTACCAGTTCCCTTTATTTTCCTAATATACAGAGGAATTAGAGAAGCTGGAACAGGAAAGATTGGCACTGGAAGCTACCATTAAAGAAAATGATTTTGAAGAAGGAAAAAGTGGCATTTGTGGATTCTTCAGAAAAGCCAGCACACTCAATATCTCAAAACATGAAACAAAAAAGGGTAAGTTCAAAAACGACAACTTCTCCCTGACCTTTCAATGCATCACATTTTCACCAATATGCAAACTGGACTTTGACTCCAAGGCCAAAACTCCTGAGCCACACAGAAGCCCCTGGAATAGGACCTACCCTGTCCAAACCTGCTTTGGTGGCCACAGCCTTGTCATGCAGAACAGAGTGAGCGTCCTCTGCGGGCAGGACACACTACCTCGTACAAAGCAACCATTTCCCCCCCCTCCCCAATTGCTAGATGAGCTTCCCAACCCAGCTTACGTTGAATTCTATTTGTCAAAAATAGCACATGGTTCTTAAAGTTTGAGGAATACAGAACAAGTTGGGTTTTGGTTTGTTGGTTTTTTTAATAGGGTGTTTTCAGTTTTTAAACAGAGGCCTTTTCTTCTCCTCTTTAAAGAAAACAGGAACATACGCACAATATTCAGGGAACAAGCAATCTCGCTTTACTCAACACACGCACACACAAACAAACCCAGTACCCAGCTGAAAAACAGGTAAAAATAGCACTACTGCTGTATATTCTAAGCATAATTTCATAAAAATGCACAAATGAAGGTAGTAAAAGTACTGAGAGTACCTATACAGCATGCTGTCAAATAACTAATTAACACATAACTTAAATGTATAGGTGATGAAATTAAATTACATTTCAGATATAGTAAAATAATACAGAAATACCGACAGAATTAAAGGTCTCATTTCACAATTGCTAGGCTGTAATGATAATGACCCACCTGAAGCCATGCTTGTACACAGACAAGGATTTTCAGACTTTTCACCTGCAGAGACTATTACATCTGGCTGTGCATGCAACTCCCACAGGTATAAAGATCTACAGACTGAAAACATAAAATGTCATTATTCTTTACTTGGCAGACTTCAGTTCATTTTGCAGGCTTCAGTAGAATACATTTTTATAACAAATACCACAAGAATGTGCACCCCTGTTTCAACTACCCTTTTCGATTTAGTTCAGAAAGGCATAAAGGAAATACATACTACTCACTTTGGCTCTATATATGAGATAGATGATGTTAATAAATATCCCTGCCTCTCCGTTTTGCTTATACATTCATCCTTCCCAGAGCTGTTGCATCTCCCAGCATAGATGCTAGAACTGTAGAGGAAACCCAATAACTGCTTTAGAACTATCCTGACCATACTCTAGAAATACAGGAAAACCAAACAAAGCATTTTCAGAACCTAGCACATCAGAGTAAATCCTCTAAAGAAGCCTGTCTGCTCCATTTAAAATACTGCTCTGACACAGTTTCTTTGAAATCATTGAAAGAGAAGCAGTAATAAAGCCACAGGCTTCAAAAGATGGAATGAGAGGAGATACTGTTAGTATAGGCAAGACTGTACCTTTTAAAGCCAGCCAAGCAAACAGCAAGATTCAAAGTTTATTTTCAATTAACAACGACCCTCTCAAGGATTGGGAAGTTGCCATATATGCTTGTTTTCTGCCTTCCAGTCTTAGCTTCACCTGTGCTCTCGCTGTACCCTGTTAGCTCTCTTTGTCCACCATTACTGTGCATTTCAGGGAGCTCTGTATTTTACAACAGGCAGCTGAGCTTGTAAATGTTGCAAAATGATGCCATTTACTTCTAAAAACTGTCAGATTGCTTTTTAAGGCCCCAGTGAATTTTAGGTTAACTAAAAAGATCTAGAGAACAAATAATCAGATAACCCTTTTCAAGATGTTATAATCTAGTGACAAAGATTACACAAGCTTTGGTTCCTGTGCGTATTGGTATATTAAAAGTCCACAGCATCTGCACTGTAAATTTTTTTCAGATTTAAAGTACAGAAATTATGTCAGAAAGTTCATTTTCCTCAAGCTTTCTCTTCACTTGGCTCCCTAAAGCTACTCGTTGCCTCACTTGTCAGAAATCCTTCCACATTTTTTCTTTCTCATTACAGAGAGCACCATTAACACAATACAGTCAATGCATGTGGGTGAATTCAATCAGAAGCTGCTAGAAGCCAGCACTCAATTTAAAAAGAAGCAAGGAAAAGGTACAATTGACATTTGGTGGCTGTTCGATGATGGAGGTAAGGAATTCAAGTAAGAACCGCAGGGAGAGAGATTTCTGTGTTACCAAATATAAAAACAGACTTGGGAACTTGTACAAAACTCTTTTCTTTTAAGATTATGTAGTCAATTTTCTGTCTGGTTTAAATGTTTTAAGATTAACTTACGTGCAACACTGCCAAAGTGAAGGATGGAATTTTTACCACACGATGTACTAATTTGATCTTCTTGCAATTTTGTATGTTCTTCCAGGTCTAACAATCCTAATTCCTTACATTCTAACTATCAGGAAGAAGTGGAAAAATTGCAAATTAAGGATCTTCACTGGAGGAAAAGTCAATAGGCTTGAAGAAGAAAAACTAGTGTAAATATAACTATATTTTTCTCACTGTTTAAAGAGTTTGAATTGATGCTGAATATAATGCATATACAGCAGGAAGCTGGGAATTTCTCAGCACAACTGGTTTGTTGTACTGTGGGCAGCATGAAAAAAAATTATGTACTTGATAGAAAGGTGTTGAGCTTATGGCATAGCCCTCAAGGCTCAGTGTAAATGGTGATTACCAAAGGAAACTCACATCCAGAAATTTTTCCCATTAATAGCTCATATTCCCTTCTCTAAGAAGAGC